GATGCCAAATTTCTTATGCATTTTTTGTGACATCCACACCTGTGTCTACAAAACCTTCAGTGAAATTATGATTTATTTTTATTTTTAAATTTTGTCTTTGTTCATTTATAGAAGTTTGCCAAAATATTTGCATGATGGTTTTTCCTGATTTTTTTTGTTCTTTCCTCTATAGCTGTTCTATCATTCAGAGAAGTATGGTTTCCTATTATTGGCATTAGTTTCATTAATTGCTCTGGGAAGGACTTTCCTCCACAGTTCTAAGAAATGACTGTACTGAATTTTGCATTGGGGCCTGCGAGTAGCCTCTGAAGGAGTTTCTCAACAGCAACGTGTTACCTCGACTGTCATTTGTTGATCTAGTGGCTGGTACCAAATTCTAATCTTCAGGCAAGCTTTATTTGGACAAATAAGATATCACCATACATGACCAAGGTGTTGAAAATACATAAGGATTGAGGGCCCAGCACTAAGGAAGACTTTTATACCGCTCCATGTAAAGCTTGGAGAACATTGAAAATGAAGAGCAGAAAGTGCCCTGTAAGTGTAGAGGCCCCAAAATGTGAGCCAATTCCACCTTGTCTGAAGGTCAGAGAGTATGAACTTGCTTAAAGTTGGTGACAACAACTGTGGCCTCAAACCCTGACTTAGGGGTGTGGTTAGTTGGTATTTTGGACATTAAGATGGCCTATATAGGTAGAGCCACTCCACCCTGTCCGACAGTCAGAGAATTCAAGCATACTTCTGCTCCTTCTTTGGAAATAGGAGGAAGTAGCTGCCTTCAGAAGGCTTTGGTCTAGGGAGAGTTCACTGCCTAAACAACAGAAAGCTTTTCTTAAGAAATAACAACTTGATGTCTCAAGTATTAGGCAAGTACCTGCTTTTGTTGTCCTTCGTATCAAGTTTAAGCAGTCTTTTGCCTTCTTTCCCGTATGGTGTTTGGATATAAAAGTGTATGGAAATTTCAACATGGGTGAACTCAACTCAGAAGTCAGAACGAAGAATTCAGCATTCAACATTTACTGAGTTGCCCTCCCATTACCATCCTATGTCTCTGTGATTCTTTCTTATCTCTGTTCCTCCTACCTAACTTTTCTAATCCTCACATCCTTCCCTTGGAAAATGTGAACCCACCATGATTAGGATAACAGAAGGAGCCGCACCCAAAAAGGTGGCTCCCAACATGTAAGAGTTAGAGGGTAGGAAGAAAGGCTGTAAAATGTAAGGCTTAAAATCCCTTAAGTCTCAAGGCAGCCATTGATTTTGCAAACTCACAGCAGCTGTAGTTACTTTCGCTGAACCTGCACAAGACTGGTCCTGTCAATAATCAATGAGAGGGGGGGAGGGGCTCATAAGATCAAATGCTTTATTGCTGAACTCTTGACTATGGAAAAATTCTGGGAGAGAAAGAGTCATTGTCTTTATTTATGCGCTCAATATTAAGCCTATCAGACTCCAGTGGATAACTTCAAACTCAAAGGAATAAACTCTTTGGGTTTATTTATTTATGGAAAAAAGGATGGAAAAAAGATTTGTATGAAGGGGATAGGTAGGCATAGGTGACAGTGAAATAAGGGAAAGTACAGGGTGAGAGTAATTAGCATACATTTTATACAAGTTTACTTAAATAAAAAATTATTATTAATAATAAAATTTCTGAAAAAGTGAAAACATGCAGCACAACTTTTCTGTTAAGGGTCTACTCTTCATAATAGTACACTAATGTTGTGCATATTTTAATATTTCTTCTGAGCACTTCCATGCCATAGCATTCTGCCTTTCTCCTCTTTTCACTTGTAAAGACTTTAAGGTTAAAGGAAAGAATGTGTCAGCTAAACTCACTGAAGAGAAGCTGGGGAATTGTGCAAGCTCCCTGGTAGCTTCTCTACTGACTGAGACATCCAGACTCTCAATGACATCATAGCTGAAGCTCTAAGTTGATGAAGAATGTTCTCTGAGAGCTGGGCAGATGACTCAGTTGTTAAGAGCACTCTCTAACAGAAATTCCAGGTTCGGAACTCAGTACCTATCTGGCGGCTCACAACTGTCTGTAACTCATGTTCCAGGTGATCAGATGCCCCTTATGGCTTCTGTGAACTGCACTCATATGGTGCATATAACACTTGTAGGCAAAATTTCATACATTTATTCATTCATAAATTTTTGACACGTGTGGTAGATAAACTCAGATCTGGTCTTAAATCATGTAATAAAGGGATAAAATAAAAGGGTTTCTAGTCTCTGATATTAAATCAGGTCTTCAAATCCCTCTGAGAATCATGGAAAAACCTGGGATATGACAAGCCATGGCCTTCATGCTTGGCCGGAGTACAGGAAGAGAGAAGTGACAGATCAAGCATCATTTTATATATAAATAAAGGATGAGAGGATCTCCCTCAGGGGAGACATAGGAGTATTTTAGATAATGAATAAGAACATCTTCCTTGAATTATTCTGAGTGGGATCCAGTACTGGTGGACTTCCTATTCCTGTAACTTTCCTATGACATAACTCGAGTCTGAGTTGAAAGCTGACTGCCTGGTAATGACGCTGTCAGGCAGGAATCCACTAGGGAGGTGCAAAATGGGATGTAATGAATCTTGGGGTGAACTTCAGTTTAGCCTACTGTCTTGTAGAGCAGGAACTATTCTTATCAGCTTCCTGCTGTCCTCTGTTTCCTAATAGCCAAGGTTCTGGAATACTTCATGGTTGACTAGAGAAGTGTCATGCATGAAACCTGAACTCCTGGTTCTAGGATAAGACATTTTCAGGATTTGGGGTGTTTTAAATGGTAGTAAAAATTTCACTAAGTCAAAAATCTCACATGAAAACAGCACATCCAAGATCCCAAAACAGAAATCACGATTTCAGATTCCCTTTAGAGGTACAATATCTAAGTAGCACAAGTACCCAGCTTTGTATCACCACACCTTTAATCCCAGTACTTGGGAGGCAGAGAAGGCAAACATCTGTGAGCTCAAGACCAGTATGGTTTACAAGAGAGAGCTCCAGGACAGTCATTCTTTTGTTTGTTTGTTTCTTTGTTTGTTTTAAAAAGAGAATAGCACAAGTGGCTGCAGAGCCATTTTGTGCAAAGGGAACCTGTGGAAAGGAGCAGCTCAGAGATTAGGAGAGCAGGCACTGTGCTGTGATGGGAAGGAATGCCATTTCTCTACAGGTAACTGGTTGACGACGCATGGAACTTTAGAGCTCAGGGATTCACCCTTACACAGTGCCTTTTCCAGTGCAGCACATCAGAGGGACCCTGTTCCTTCATTGTGTGCATTATTCTTCCCTGATGGCATGAGATATCTTCAAACACTGGAATATTATTTGTATAACTTCGGCAGTATAAGAATGCTGTCTGTCTAGTATCAGATAAAGTAGAGATCAAAAGGTGTTGGCACATACGTGGAGACACTGGGACTCTTCAACGTCTCATAAATTTAAAATGATTTATTTATTGTATTTATGTATATGAGTATTTTGCCTGCATGTATGTATTTACAGCACATGCTCAGCTCAGGGATGTCAGAGGAGGGCATTGGGTGCTTTGGAACCAGAATTGCAGGTGGTTGTGAGCTGCTATGTGGATGGATGCTGGGAAATAAAGTGAGGTTTGTACTCAAGAGAAATTTGTGTTCTTAACCACAATGCTATCCCTCTAGCCCCAAATCTGGGAATCTTGCACAGCAGGAGGGACATAAAGAAGAACAACAGTTGTATAGAAATTTACAAAGATTCCTAAAAAATAAAAGTAAATGATCTTTTTGACTCAGTAGCCATATCTTAGGATATTTGTTCAAGTTTATTGAAATCAGAATGTCCTTTCAATTTAAATTTTTATCTTTATTCACACAAATTTATTGAATGTAGGAGGGAATCCATAAAGTCCTTTAAGTATGTCATGGACTCACATACTTTGATGATATTTGCTCTTCCATAGCCCCTACCCTGACTAGTTGCCCACTTTCTCACAGACCATATACAGGATGGTCTTTGAAGTTCTGTGTAAAATCTTGGGTTTACAAATGAGAACGTGTGATTGATAATTTTTTTGAGTGTGGTTTATTTCATTAAATATGATAATCTCTTATGCAGCTGTTCTCTAGAAATGACGTGGTTGAAATCACAATCCTAAAGTGATAGTGTCACTTACAAGTTTGTGTCCTTCCAATTAACAATTGATAAGATGTGGCTGAATATTAGATGCTCTTTGAGAAGCAACTGGATAAAGAAATTAAGACAGAGATTCCATTGCTATATACGATTTCACACAAATGATGTTTATAAAAGTTAAACAGTGAAGGAGAGAGCAGTCCCTTGGTTTATGGGAGCTGAGATTGGAGGAACCAGGAAAATGGTCATCATTGGGTATTAAATTTCAGTTATTCCAGATAGAAACCTTCCATGGATCTATTGTTCAATACTATGGTTAGTGCCACTGATGTAGGGGAACCATGTTAAACATTTAGAAGTCTATTGATTTTGTGAAGTTTTTCATTAAGTGATTCATCAAAATAAGATAACAGACACTATGGAATGATGATAGTCCAGAGTTTATTAAAATTGCTTGCTTTCATAGACAAATTGCATAAGTGAGAAGAAAGAAGGAAATAACACATAAAAATATGGGGTTAACTCAGAAGAATATACAGTTGAGAAGAAATACAAGTTTTATTTTGGGGGTAGGATTTTTTTTTAAGTTATTAAGTGAGACATATAAAAATCTTAGCTCAGAATTTAAACTGATACCTGACCTTCCACATCAGCCCCCATGAAGATGTCACAGGATATAATCTCTGGAGATGAGGAGAGAGAGGTGTGAGGGACACCATCCTTCCTCACAGCATTTCCCACACTTAAGTTAGATTTTACATTCGCCAGGTTTCCTGGTGAGAATATGAAGGGGGTCAGCAAAGGTTAAGGTGTGACTTTGTGAACCTAGGGCCAGTCAACTCTCCCCAGAGCATGGCTGTGCAGATATTCCTTAGGGGAGCTGGTCAGCAGCAGCAGGGTTGGCAGCAGGGTGTGCTGCAGCTGATGGTCACACAAGTTGGCTTGCAACAGGTGGCCTTGCAACAGGTGGGCACACAGCAGCAGGGTTGGCAGCAGGGTGTGCTGCAGCAGATGTTCACACAGGTTGGCTTGCAACAGGTGGCCTTGCAACAGGTGGGCACACAGCAGCAGGGCTGGCAGCAGGTGGGCACGCAGCAGCAGGGTTGGCAGCAGCAGGGTTGGCAGCAGGGTGTGCTGCAGCAGATGTTCACACAGGTTGGCTTGCAACAGGTAGTCTTGGAGCATGTGTTTTCACAGCAGGTGCTTTCACAGCAGGTGGGCACACAGCAGCAGGGCTGGCAGCAGCAGGGCTGGCAGCAGCAGGGCTGGCAGCAGCAGGGCTGGCAGCAGAGTATGCTACAGCAACATGGGGGACAGCAAGGCTGACAGCAGATGGACTTGGGGCAGCTGGATTCACAGCAGCAGGGCTGGCAACAGGTGGTCTTGCAACAGGTGGTCTTGCAGCAGCATGGCTGACAGCAAGGTGGGCAACAACAGAGGGCCATGGTATCAGGTGTGGAGGGTTTTACTCTGTTCACAGGTGAGTTTACAACTGTGTAGCAAGTTCTTCCAGTCACTGACTTTTATACCACAGAGCCCTAATATTTGGGCCAATCAGAAAGACTCTTCTTCTTTGTTCACCATTTCCATATTTAATTTGTGTTCATGAGGAAGGAAATTCTCACCTCATGCTCTGAATCATTGGGAAGCATCCTTTTCTTCTCTGGGGATGCTTACCTGAACTCTTTCCAGTAGCTCAGGCGCTCATCCCGTCAGCTTTGTTGCAGCTCTAGTGGTCATCTGGGCTTTGGTGGCTCCTGCTCTGTGGGAAGGTCAGGATTCCTTTGTTCTTACAACTCTCTTCTGCCACCTGTGCTTAGATTTATGAATGTCTCTGGGCATGAGTGTGCTGTATTCTGTATAATGGACTCAACACCTGGTTCCCTGTCTGTTTCCCCACAAAGCCCAATTCCAAACTGTCCCAGGTTGTGTCATTCTCTGTATATAGTGTTATGCCTTGTATCTTGGTCTCACTAAAGGTGGTTTGAGATAAGGTATCTGCAATGATTTGTTTCTTAGCAGAGCAGAACCAGAACTGGTGATTATAAATAGAAACAGTTCATTAGGAATAAAGAGGCATCAGGGGAGATGTGGGTGGCCATCAGTCCTGACTGACTGTCTTCTCCTGGGAGCTCATAGGGAGAAAGGCCTTAGATCCAGATAAAGGAGGGTGAGCAGATTATTCCAAAGCACACTTGGCTGTCTGTTGAGGCAGTGACCTTAGACTGGTGATCTCCTGATTTCCTTCTTCTGCCTGACTCTCTTTACTTTTATCCCCATCCCTCTCTGGACTTTCTCCTTCATTTTCTTTTCTACTCTACCTCTTTTCTTTCCATTGAGTGATAGAATTATGGTTATTTGAAATGTAGCTAATTTATTACCTAATTTATCTATGGGGAATATGATGTGTATCTCTCTCTTTCTTACTCTTTCTCCCTCACTCTAGTCTACTCTTCATACTAAAAATACATAGATAATTTCCCATTTGAGAGAATAAATGGTGAACACAGCCACAGAATTATTAAAGACATGGAAATTAACTTTGGTCCTTACAAACCATTTTATATCACTCAAGCTCCAAAGCTGTTTCTCACTTTCTTTAAGGGTCAGTTACATCACTGTTAATGTTGTTGCAAATCAAAACTAGTCTGTGCCCTTGATCATAGGATGATTGTGACAGCACTTACCATCATGGGCCCCAGTTTGTTCAGTCTCATTTTTTTTACAATTACTTAAATTAGTTTTTTTTAAATTTTTTTCTATTCAATTATTTACACTTTCTTCCCTCCTCCCAATCCCCTCTTGCTCCCCCACACCTCCTCTTCCTTTCCCACTCTGCTTGAGAGAGGGCTGGAAATCCTGCCCAATGGGAAGTCCAAGGCCCTCCCTGCTACATCCAGGTCTAGGGAGCTGTGCATCCATATAGACGAAGGTCCCAAAAAAGCCAGAACATGCCATAAAAACAAGTCCCAGTGCCTTTATCAATGGCTTCTCAGTCAGTCCCCATTGTCAGTCACAATCAGAGTCCGGTTTGATTACATGCTTGTTCAGACCCAGTCCAGCTGGGTTTGGTGAGCTCCCATTAGAACAGGCACACTGCCTCAGATGGTGGAGCAACCCCTCGCGGTCCTGTCTTCCTTGCTCATCTTCTCCCTCCTTCGCTTTTCAACTGGACCTTGGGAGCTCAGTCCGTTGCTCTGCTGAGGATCTCTGTCTCTATCTCCATCCATCGCTGGATGAAGATTCTATGATGATATTCGAAATAATCATCAGCGTGATAGTGGGGCAAGGCCGGTTCAGACACCCTCTCCTCTGCTGTCCAAGGACCTAGCTGGGTACATCCCTGTGGACACCTGGGATTCCCTCTAAAGCCAAGTCTCTTGCCAACCCTAAAATGGATCCCTTCCTGTAGGTATCTTCTTCCCTGCTCTTATATCCGCCCTTCATCCATCTTCACCCTCCCACTCCCCCAAGTTCTTGCCAGTCCTTCCCTTCTCCCTTCCCTCTTCTTTTCTCCCTTTTCCCCAAACTCATCCCAACCCCTGCCCCACCCCCATTTTGTATACCATTTCACTAAATGAGTTTGATACCACTCACTGATTGGATTTTTATTCCAAGAAAACAGGTTGTTTACAGCTTGGGACTATTCAGAACAATGTTTTAATTATTTCTGTCTTATGCACAAAGGCTGTACAAACACTTTCAGCCACATAGAAACTTGCTTATCATGAAATGTTGTTTCTTTTATTTTGCAAGAACCTTGTCCTTATTAGACTAAATTTATTCTTGGAAATTTCTAGTGTTGCATCTTGTTTGTTTGTTTATTTGTTTTTTGTTTACTTGTTTTTTTTTTTGAGACAGGGTTTCTCTCTGTAGTCCTGGCTGTTATGGAACTCACTCTGTAGACCAGGTTGGCCTTGAACTTATAAAGAACTACCTGCCTCTGCCTCCCTGGTGCTGAGATTAAAGTGTGCACCACCGCCCTCTGGCTGCACTATTAGTGTTTCAGTTTAAAACTTACATTTTTGTTTCATATGACAAACAGAAATTGATGGATTTTTATTAGCATGCACTGTTTTCACAGAACAGTGCATTTGATTATGGCATTGTCATGAATGCACTTAACACAGTTTGATCAAATTCACTCACCGTCACCCACTCCAATGTCCCCTGTGGCCTCTTCCTGATTCTTTCTCTTCCCAAATCGTCCTATTGCTTCTTTTGTGTCCCCACCCCTCCTTACATGAGGGAAACATGACCTTTGTCTTTGGAGCCCTACTTAATTTACTTATTAATATGATCTCCAAATTTCATCTGTTTTCTGGACAATGACATCATTTATTCTTCTTCATATGTACCATATCTTATTCATGCATTCATCCACTGAATGACCGGCAGGCTGGTTCTTTGTTGTTTGTCCTGTGGAGGAGTCATGTGGTGGTTCTAACGTTAGATTATTTTTAGAGATCCTACAAGCTAATTTCCATACAGACTGTGTTAATTTTCATTCCCATTAACAATGCGTAAAGGTTTCCTTTTCCCTTGGATCCTCAGCAGCACTTGTTTTTGATGGTTTTCTTGATGACAGCCTTTCCTGAGGAGAGTGAGGTTGAATTTCAAGGATGTTTTGGTTTGTATTTCCTGGTGGTTTGTGGTGTTGAGATTGTTTTTTGTATATTCTTTTAGTCATTTTTACTTTTTGTTTTTTAAAAAGTCTTCAAAGAATTGATTAGAACATTTAGTGATGTATGAACTTTTGTTTTGATTTAAACTTTTATTTATTTATTTATCTATTTATTTTTACAGCTTTTAATGAGCAATGTATTTTTCTTTTTTCCCCTCCCTTCTTCCCTCTACCCCTTCTATGCTCTCCCATTATCCTTATGCTCCCAATTAACTGAGGAGATCTTGTCTTTTTGTCCTTCCCATGTAGATTAGATCCATGTGTATCTCTGTTAGGTTCCTCTTTGTTGTCTATGTTCTCTGGGGTTGTGAATTGTAGGCTGTTTTTTCTTTGTTTTATGTCTAAAAGACACTTATGAGTGAGTACATACCACGTTCATTTTTCTGGGTCTGGGTTACTTCACTCAATAGGATCTTCTCTAGATCCATTCATTTTTATGCAAATTTCAAGATGTCATTATGATTTTCTGCTGTGTAGTGTGGCGGTCATTCCACGCCACGGGGTCTGCATCACCACCCACCCGGTATGGACCGCGACTCCATACCTTCCACGAGCTGAGTAAGGTCCTAGGGGTTGAACACAAAACGCACACGACACATACAGAGAGTTCGAGTCATTCTCCAGGGAGAGAAGAATGCCCATTTATTCAACTTAATCTGGAGTTAAAATCCCCTTTGGCCCCAGAACAGAAACTCCTCCCAGCCAGAGGGGGATGGGGAAGCTGGTGCCAAGTGAGCTTCTCAGCAGGCAGGTGGTCGAGGGGTGCAAGGCAGTGTCAGACAGGGTAGGTACCTTGGCGCCTGGGCTCTTCCAGGCAGGTTGAGAAATTACCATTTTAAAGTGATATAGAGTCGTAGGCTATTATACCAGACTAGAGCAGAAGCAAGCATGGAACTTAGCAGGAAGCTTTAGCAGGTTGCCAAAACAGTCCTTGATTCGCACCTCTCGCACATTGAGAGGCAGGGGAAGCCCCGGGCCTTACAGGTAGTACTCCATTGTGTATGTTTTCTTTATCAATTATTTTGTCAATGGGCATTAAGGTTCCTTCCAGGTTCTGGCTATGACAAACAATGCTGCTATGAACATAGTTGAGCCCCTGTCCTTTTGGTATGATTGAGCATCCTTTGGGTACACACCCCAAAATAGTATTGCTGGGTTTTGAGGTAGGTTGTTTCCTAATTTTCTGAGAAATTTTTGCTGTACTGATTTCCAAAGCACCCGTAGAAGTTTGCATTCCCACCAGCAGTGAAGGAGTATCCTCTTTATGCCACATCCTTTTCATCATAAGCTGTCATCAGTGTTTTTGATCTTGACTATTCTGACAGGTATAAGATGGGAACTTAGAATGGTTTTGATTTTCATTTCTTATTGTTGCAAAAGGAGCCATGGGTTGCATTCTCGCTGGGATCCCGGCTCCCTGGCTAGTTTACACCTGAAATAATTATATGGAAACTGTATTCATTTAAACACTGCCTGGCCCATTAGTTCTAGCCTATTATTGGCTAACTCCCACATCTTGACTAACCCATATCTAATAATCTGTATGCCACCACGAGGTCATGGCTTACCGGCATGAGTCTAGCCAGCATCCATCTTGGGAAGGGGAATCATGGTGTCTGCCTGACTCTGCTTTCTTCCTCCCAGCATTCTGTTCAGTCTATTCCACCTATCTGAATTCTGCCCTATCAAAAAGCCAAAGCAGTTTCTTTATTAACCAATGAATGTAACACATAGACAGAAGGCCCACCTACATCATCTGAT